TAGTGACAATATTTGTTAGAACTGGTATCAGTCACAGCCATGCACATTGCACTCTGAAGGCAAAAATACAGACATTAAACTTTAATACCTCTATACAACATTGCCAGTTTGAATTTGACTTCATTTGTTAGATCGTAGAGTCGACAGTTGAAGAAAGTATCAAGGAAATTAAATCTGTTTTAAAATGTATAGTGAATAGTTAACCGTGAAAGCTATTCTTAGAAGTGAAGACAGTCCATAGAGGAGCAACGTGAGTTGAATACCATCCTCAAGTTATGGCAAACATGTAAACTCTATCTAGACAATATACCTATCCTAAAACATCGTTTCCACGGAACACATGTATTATTACGCAATTATACATGTTTAAAACATTAGAGTTTATGTCTATAATTTTGCCTATGTCTTTGTCACAACAACTGCTTTAATACCATTTTCTGACTTGTCTACCTTAATTCTTTGTATAATCCATAGGATCAACTACAACAACAATAACCCTGTTCTCGCTTCATGGTGCGAAAGTAGATATAGTTTTTTATAAATTAATTGACTACTGTATCTAATAGTCCTTTTAATATTAGTAGAATATAACGTAAAAGTAAAATTCAAAACTTAAAACAAATATTTATTCACTTAAATATCATAAGCCGTTTTTATTGTAATCAATTAATTGATTATTCTTATTAAAATAATCATTTACTTATTACAAATGTATACCATAAACACCATATCCATATGAAGATACTCGTTGATCATAAAATTTACTACGATATACGATCCAAAGGATGCTTTATAATCGGTAGACAATACTTACAATCAATAAATTTTACACTGGTGATTCAAATATGATATACAAACAATGTAATAAATAAAAACACTGACTTTAGCTTAAGTTAATATGTAAAAGTAAAATAATAAGCAATATCAATGTCCTAAATTAGAGTTTATAATAATAGAGCCAATCCTCTTACTCACACAAGTAGGTAAACGTCAACAAATCTAGCTAGATCTTTTAGAAAAGACTTATTAAATATATGTACGTGAAAGACGTTTTTTTTATATCTTTATAATAATATATGTTTTATATCCATACAAATAGCCGTGCAAAATCTAAAAGTCCTAATTCTAATATTGACTCAAACAATAATCAAACCCAAACCATTTTATAAATAATGTAATGTATGCTGTTACACAGTTCTCTACTTTATTTTTATTTCAGTGACTTTCCGCAATGTGATGTGATCGATCGCATAATTTATTATTATTGAAATTTTATTCAAAAATAGAAACTGACATACATATCTTGACATGTTGAAATAAACATGTTGGAATTGCTGTTATCAAACGCTATCAATATTTATGATCTCATTCATGGCACAATTTATAGCAAAACTATCTGTTGACACCGGGGTCCAATAATACTGTTTTTAATACATAACTGCATTTAAATATTATTATTCAAACAAATTTAATTTTCATAATATTATTTATGAAACCTGTACATATGTTCATAATCCTATTGCTAACTTTTTTGTTCCTACTTCGTTTGTTGCTTTTATTGAGACAAAACATAAGTAGATATGCATAAAAATTCTGTCATAGAGTCAAAATTTAATATAAATCCTATTAGCCTTTTAGTTATGTAATGGTAATGGACAAATAGATATACTTTCGCATTTATAATAATGATATAAAAATAAACCAGCAAATCAACAAAGTGACAAACTATTCTAATAACTGCACAATGGACTATTTGTCAGAATTGCCAATGTCACATTAACGTTGATAATATTTATTGCTATTACTATGTATTAAGAGACTGAAAGGACTCGTTCCGTTATCCCGTGACGTAGTGTCAATATGGTGACATCAGGATGTTGAAAAGGATCCCTCATTTTCATATTGAACGTGACGACATTGCTGCGAACTATGCCATGACTAATACTACAATATTTGACCCTGTTATGTTACATGTATCTGGTTTTTTGTATCGACGAGTATTAGTCACCACTTGTCTCAGGATAGCTCACTTGCCTGCTTATCAATGGAGTAATAATACGTAACAATAGCGCTTACGTATCACCCGACACGCGGCGGTGATGGCACGAGATGTGAAAAATCTACTGTTACAGTAATCAAATAGTTCTTACGAAAATTAAATATTAACTTGTAAACAACGTACTTGCACTGTTAAAACGTTGAATATTTTGTTGCGCAAACAAAACGCGACACCAAAATTGACAAAATTTGACGAACTCAACCTCAGCGAAAAAGTAAAACATTCTAGTAAAAATATCCTAAATCGGTATAATTGAGAACCTCTTCCTTTTCGAAATGATTAAAACAAAATCATCTCTATTCAGTTAGACGGCGTTAGTTTTTACAATAAGCCTACATATACTACATAGACATTTTAAAATTAGAAATCTAACAAAATTCAAAGCAGCAAATGAATGTATTCAATTGTCACGAAAAACAGAAATATCAAGAAATTCTGGAACTCTATAAATTTGTCAATAGTATTTGCATTCTAGTTTAAACATTAAAATGATTATATGTTTTGATGACGCCGCGTGCCGGCCGGCGTGGCCATGACATCAGCATGCTCCGCGTCAGCGCACGTCATCGGACGCAATTTTTCATGTCCATACTAGTTTAATCATCGCAACATGACACTGTACCTATAGCCAATCGCTGAGCGTTATCTCTGTTAAATCTTATTGTGTAATCTATAAAGACACGTCATCTTTTTATAATAAGATGATGATGTTTTAACAAAATTATGCCAACCTGATTTACTAATTAATTATAATAATGAATATATAATAATAAATAGGAATCGGAAACTCAAAATCTATTTCTTCACTATAATTACGGCTTTGTTTAAAAAAATATAATAAATCCGTTATAACTATTACGGCTATATTACTTTATTTTAAATTATTTAAATATCTAAAATCTTGAAATAAAAATACAATCAATTATAGTTAAAACGGTTAATAGACATTTATCGCCTTTATAAATAAAGGGGTTATGACATAACATCACAATAAGTCGACGCAGACATAATGTACATAATCAATGCTGTCAAGTCATTACACTTTGAATCCAATAAGGAAGGGACAAGTGATAAAATTTTCAGTTTGTTATCAGTGTTTCCATCACTAGACGATTTGTTAAAAAATCAAAATTAAATTAAATTGGCACAATAATTTTTTTAGTGTTGTTGGTCATATTTAAGGTAAAATTCAAGGTAGGAAACCACTACTCAATAACGCTGTTGTTACTTTAGTATTTAAGAAAAATAGAAACAGGCTCTTTAAAGTACGGATATGATACTCATACGTAGCAGTAGGCGGGCCATTAATATGCGTCGTAGAGCTGTAGTGTTCGCCACTACAGCGCGTGAGCAGACTGCCTGATTGATAGCATTCTGGACTGGACACTCCCGTGACTCATCCATCGATATTACATTACACCGTCAATGGTTCCGTTGACCCTATTCAACGGGTTCAATACGTGCGACAAATTGTCCTTGTACTGAATTCAAAGCAGTTGTACTATTCACAGAACAGCAATAAACTGTTAATAAAAGTCATACCGCTGCAGATTTGCACACATTCAATTATCGTTATGCACTTTAATGTTTTGAGACGGTGATAAACTTGCATGGCTTCTAATTTTATCGCAATTTATTTAATTCTATCGTTATTCGTTATGTTATGAACATATCTCTCTTGCACATATCTAATTAAGTTAGGAATTTAACTTCATAATATTACGGAGCTTATGCTTATCAACAATAATAATAATTGCATGACATAGTGAATTATTAACTTGCTTTATAACTATAAAGAGCATTGGTGTGCAGCAAACAATTGTTGGCATTATTGTTCCATGACATAATTGACAAATATACCTAGAATTACGCATTTAAGGACAACGCATTTATTTACCTTAAGGTTTAATAAAGGTATTGGCAGTGATCTCTACCAAAAATATACTAAAGTAAAAAAATTACGGTCTATTGTATTTGCCCGTAATATCTTCCACTTAAGTCGAGGATTTAAGATGTTATGTCACATGACCAAATTATCTACATCATATTGATATGTCGTTTTCTATATCAGCTATTGTACTTTTCACGATGAAATATCATCACATTGTTGAAGGTTAAAAATAGGCGTTAATCGCTTTTTTTTATTATAATAATAATAATTATTATTACTTACCTGATCATAAAGTAAATTGAAATTTTAAATTTTCGGACGTTCGAAATTCTATTTTAAAAATTGAACCCTGTTCAAAAAATTATTCTGTAACAAAGCAAACAAATAGCATATCGCCAATTTATATACACATATATATAAATTGTTGTTCCTTTTTTGAATTATAGAATCGTGACCATATTGTTCAAAATTGTTTCGTTCTAAAAAAAAAGCTGACGTCCAAACAAATGACATTAATATTTATTATTACTTTTTCGTAAAAACATACGGCTATCAAGTCTAAATTTATACATAGTATAAGTTCTGATTAGTCTGATAACTAATGGCTAGATGGCGCCGCTTGGTATGTTCATGGATATTTTTTATACTGTAACAGGTAGTCATTAAATAACTATAGAGACATTATATATCATTATTAAACATCGCATGGATGAATAGATGATATTATCAACTATATATATTATATATGTAGATAGATATAGACATACATATTTTTACTCAAACTATAATTCTACGTTTAATCTGAATCGCAATAGAATATGATTTAATTATCACACAAAGTAGAAATGTGTTAAGATATCTATTATGTACCTACGTCTGACCATAAAACACTACCACTACTTTTGTAAAATGGTAATCACTAATTGTCAATACTTAATATTATAAATTTCAAAGTCTTTGTCTGTTTGTTTATGTTACCTATTTGCAACTAAACGACTAACGTAGATATATTAGCTAGTTTCTAATATGTATTTAAATTTATTGTTACAGATACCAGAGTTCAACTTCGATGGCAAAAATTTAAAACACAACGGCGGCGCCAAAGAAATGGCCTTCGTTATGGAAAACCTGAAGAAAGGCGGTTTGGTATCCCGCCAAAACCAGAGCCTCAATACGCAAGTGACGAGCTCTTCAAGCCAGCAGGTGAGGTGTTACCATTATAAGAAGTAAAAGTGGCTGTAAAATCGATAACTATTATAGATATTAAGTAAATTTAGTTTTTTTTATTCTTTATATATACCCACATAGGAAAAAAACAGTGATACAATAAATGTAATGTACAAGGCCGAGTTTATCTCTAGAAAGAGATTTCTTCCAGGAAACCTAGAAAATGTTGTAGGATAGTGTATTAATTAGATAAACCATACAAATGTGAACGAAAAAGAGGAGATATTAAGATATTGTTGTAATAATAATAACGACATGAATCAATAGACATACATAAATTATAAGGCATAAATATGTAATTATAATATTATAATTCTGTTTTAATTATTACAACAATATCTTAATACCTACATGTGCACATAAATAAATAAGTATAAAAGTGGTTCTTGGAAAAAGAAACTAAAAGTTTGATGTTTGAGACGGTTAAGTTAATCTGTAATTAGTCGTGAAAAGCTAACAACCAGATATACAGACAGTCTTAAGCATTTATAATATTAGTATTTATTCTGGACGCAGAGGTAATAAATATACCTACTACTATTATATTTCAGGTACAGGTACTTGACCCTAAAGTCTTGACGTAAAGATGTAATAAATAACGAACCATTTTCTAATATATTACCAGTCGTAATGTTTGTTTGTTTAATTATAGACACTGGTCGATTTCGGCACTGGCCTCGTTCTGTTAATAAAATGGGCAGTTAATTTTAAATTCACCCATCACGAGCACAGCCTACACTAAAATAAATAAAATTAAACACATAATCTATACTATGAGTTACTATATAGTATGTACATACGCAACGTACTAGTTTAATTGAATATCTAAAATAATAATCATCATTATTATTACATAGTATAAAAGAAAGTCGCTGTTGCTGTATGTCCCTATGTATGCTTAAATCTTTAAAACTTCGCAACGGATTTTGTAACAGTTTTTTTTAATAAATAGAGTGATTCAAGAAGAAGATTTATATATATAATACACGTACACCCGTGAGAAACCGGGCCGAGTAGCTAGTACTCTATAACATAAACTCTAAACATAAAAAGATTATTTTTTTTTACCGTAAGTCTTTCTGTGGTTTTTAATATATTTTTCGCCTACATAAAATTGAAGTATTAAAAAGAAACAGATACAGATCACTGCCCCTTTGTAACTAGTATAGAATAAATTTAAATATCTAATAATAAATAAATCCAGTAAAGCTTACACTTATAGTGAAATGATCCTTATGCCCCTAGAGCACACTAAAAAGAGTATCTAAATATTGAGGTAAATGTATAATTTTTGTATGTTTTAAATGTTTGATTTCGTATTCGAATCAAATGTCCGTGATACTTTAGATTTAGAAAAATGAAAAGAAGTATCTATATAAAAATGTAAATAAAAACTTTACGCGTGTCTCCAAAATATTCAAAGATTAGAACGTGGATATTTTCTATACAAATCCTATATTTAAGAACTTAAAATGTCTTGAAATGAGTCACGTAGTACCTATTCTCAAGAATTTCTTGTTCCTTACAGCTATTATTGAGTTTGTTTATTGAATTAATTTTGTTCAATGAAAGGAAAGTTTTAAAATTCAAAGTTCTTAGAATTAATAATCCTCAATTTATGATGACAAATATGTTCCGAATTTGCAACTGTTTACTGTAGAATAAATAAATGCGTATTGTAGGCAGGTATAGCAACCTACTTAGGAATGATTACTGGTTCACCCACGCAAGAATTTGCAGACAAACGGCAACAACGGGTATACAATAGGTAGACTAACGTTATAACTCCCCAGTTTTGGGCCCGAGGTTCAAGGACATGTTTTGTTGCATTTCGCCCACGCATGCAATGATTCAGTCATTAAATTTGCTGTTAAATATAATATTTGTGCCCATATATATGACAACATAATGATAAACTGATATAGCATATATCTGCGTACATTTACTTATATAGTCTATAGAATGGTCGTTTGTTTATAATTTAAATGTGAACTCTATGTTATCTGTAACAAAGTAGGTAACATAAACTATAATGTAAGGTTGTCGCCAAGTCTAAATATGATTAGCAGTAGATCCAGATGTCGATTGTTGATGTACGAACTCATTACTCACACTAATTAAAAAAAACTGTGTTATTTTGGTGTTTCTATTTTGTCATAGCCCTGGCTTTATTTACTTCGTCCGTAGGTGCGCCAAGAAGCGTGACGCCCGCCTTTGCAGACTCTTGTAACATTGGCACTGAACTCCTTAGTTGTAGTCTCGATAACGATTGCGGACGATGAAGATGTGTGTTATCAGTTATACTTTTGCTAAATTGTTACATACTTTCAAATAAAAAGTACTGGTACTAAACATAGCTATTTATATATTAGAATTGCAATCTTCATATTTTGTTATCACATATAATCAATATAGTTTAGTTGAAAAACATTTCATGGCGTGTCTTTCTACTTGCAGATGGTTTCTAGTACAACATCGAGCAGCGCTTCAACTAGTCAGCGAATGCAAAGCTCTTCACAGCGGCTACAACATATTACATCTGAGATGAAAACAAATTCTATGAAATCCGATCTCTCAGAGCTTCAAAGTTCAATATCTGAGATGAAGAATTTGAGTAACACAAGAAATTTTGGGCCACGGTAAGGGTAGTCCTTAATATATATATATATTCAATTTTTCCTAATGATGCCTCCTTTTGAATTCGATACACATCGTAATATTGTTTTAGATTTATTAATCATAAAGCCTGCTGGAAATTTAAAATGTGTTTTAAAGTTTCACAAACGCCATTGAAGCTGAAAGTCCAAAGTCTGTTGTCAGTCAAAGATCAGATGAGGCCATATTAGTATATTTCAGCAGTGGGAATGTTTGCGACTATTTCCATTACTATACTACACTGTGTTATCTAACAATGTTTGTTTTGATAAAAGGTAATCTCTCGTGTGAATATCAAAAATGTTTCCAGCATTAGCTAGTAGTCAGAGCGGCTCACCTGAGCAACCTTGGCCATCAGCCAATTCCCTCCCGCTGATTCTCCGCTACATGTTTTCAGTACCATGCCGACAAACAAAAGTAACAGTACTGCTTTCGCACCATTTGTTTAAATGTATTGTTGTAAAATTAAAAGCGGTTCATTCAGCGAAATAGTTCTTTTCAACGTGATCATTAATCATCGTATCATTATTCCCTTCGACGTTTCAGACTGAGAAGTTCAATGGAGAATATCGTTGACCAAGATGACCTGACGGACCGGCACATACCAGACATAAGGGATCTTAGCGAAATGAGTGATATCGGCGATATCAGTGATATTAATGAGCTTCCATCAGACGGACCTTTAGTGACTTTTCCGGAATCCGACACACCACCCCCTATCAGTGATAAACCCTCTTTACTTTCGGCCAGCACTGCTTCTATTGGTTCCAACAGCGCCAACGAGTTAAAATACAGTACCGCCCGTGTAACATCGGCAAGTTCGACACGCGTTGTTGCTGATGGATACAGTGCTTCAAGAACAGCAGCTAATAGTGCGAAAATGAGGCGGTTGCAGCACGGCAATGTGCAATACGCAGAGAGTAGCGCTGCCGGAGCCTCCCACCGGATGTTACAAGCTGACGGACTAACTGCGGAGCAAAAGGCCGCGTACCTTCAGGTTGGTAATAACTGTTTACTTTCACTACATACAAAGAACATGAAGCAATGTAAACATGTAATATTTATAAGCACTCGACTCTCTGTCTACCTCGTAAGAATCCATACCTCAACATAGAGATAAATATATATATATATATAAATATATATATATATCATTACTACCATGTCATTACTAGAAACTTAAAATCTGAATTATATCAACAAATTGTATCTATATAAACTAAGCGAAACCTTGCTTTTTACATATATGAATAGAAGTGTTGTCGGAGCCAGAAAGGCGCGCCGAAGGACGTGACCTCGCTCGGCCGAGACCGATCGATATTCTAGAGCGCCACCTCAACCACGACACCCCCAAATTGCGCCAGTACTATACAACTTCTTGTCACGATAACATCAATCAAGAATGTGAAAGAAAACGCGAGTTCACTCAATATTTTGCATGTGGTTATGAAAACATTATGGCTGCCCGTTTAGTTGCCTTTGCGGGCAGGATGCTACGCCGCGGAGGATCTCCGGGGGCGGTGAGCTCATTTATCTACGTGTGCTTATCGCAGCTTCTCCCGCTCCTCTCAGTCAGTGGCTGACCGTCGTGCGCGCGAGCACACGCGGAAGTATTTTATGCGCGTGCGCGCACGAGTACGCGAATAGTTCGCTTTAAATATAGACACGGAATGTCTACGGGTGGGGGGTCGGCCCCGTGGCCGGTCCACCGTGGAGTCCTGTCACGTTTTTCTCCACACACGCAAAATCCTTTGGTGAGATTTTTTCTAAACGAAAAGTTTAACTTCCGTGAATAGTGTAGGTTGTACACAAATTTTAGAATAATTCACTGGAAACCTACAAGTTTTACGTTATTGGCCTATATCCAATAAAGCCAATAGGACGTACAATCTCAGCTATGACGTAGGACAACGTTTTTTTTGTTAAAAAGTAGTTTTTATTTCTAGATGACCACCGCAAATTCATTCGCATAATGTCTTCGAAACGGCGAAGATCAAAAGTTAAACTACGTGCCGGTGCTCTTGTTGTAACTATCAAATATTAGCGTAATGAATCACCGTGTCAGTGATAACAAGCTCATCTTCTTGAGGATATATTTCAGTGCCTAATTTGTTTACACTTCATTAATGTCACAGTAATCTCTCCTGTGGCACCACTACAAGTGTCTGTGCTATTTTATATTAAAGATATTATATAGTGTGAAGTTAAGTGCGGCGTTTTATTCTAATTGAGTTTCTATACTCTTTAATTTCTCCGATTCCAGGAGCAGCGATCACTCAAGGCTGGCGAAGTAACCGCCCAAGAAGCAAACAATATGTCCGCTTCGAGTTCTCGATTGCAGACAGAGGCTTTCAGTGCTGAGAAAAAAGCTATGGCCAAAGCGCAAGCACGGCAAACCGTAACCTCCAGCGGCATGTACAGCCACAAAGAACACATTGCACATTCTAACATGACCATATCCAGCAAAAATATGTCCACGATCTCATCTCAGGTTAGTACTTCATATTCTGAGTTAGACACAACTGACTTTAATAATCGTACTATTGTACCTATTCTGTTGAAACATGGTAATGATGCTAATTTGTGAACTTTAGCATGATTGATAATTTTGTAAGTAAATATAAAACATTCTACTGATAAATATCAGTGTGTATGTATGAAGAAGTTACAGAAGTCACATTATACATTTTTTAATAACTTATTGGTTTTCCCGTGTACACATCATGTTTACCAATAATATTCTTGCACGTAGTTTTTATAAAAATCGTTGGTTACCTTACTTCCTCAATGCCAAACTGAAGGTCATATTGAGTTATCTGCAAAAACAAGTGATTTGGACATGGGTATGATTATTTTCTATTATAAATAATTAACTGTCTGATAAGTAGCTTAGTCTTTTGTCGTTTCATAACAAATCAATGTCATGCAATTAATAATATTTTAATAACAATTTTTTCTGGGTAGAACTTTAGTAACGTATAGTTTAGCAATATTGGTTATAGACAATTATAAACGTCCCTTTTTATAAATTCATTGTAATATAATCCCTTAAGCTTTATTTATAAATAAATAATTAATAATATTTCAGATGACTCAACTTTTAAACGGTACAATAAAACCTGGAGATGAAGATTTGACTAACTTAAGTTTTGAAGACTTAGATAGACTAAATGCAAACTCCAATCAGGGTGATGTCGAATTAGCTATTAAAAAATACTCGTCAAGATTGAACGCTTTTATTACATCTATAAAGAAGAATCAAATAGACATGAGGAATTCGTCTGTACATTTTGATAAATTAAATGAAATGCTAAGAAGGGCTTGGGCGGTACCGACTCATGGACATGAACTTGGATACTCATTGTGCAATGCGCTACGGGTATCTGGGGGACTAGATATATTAATGGCAAATTGCTTGGAATGTAGTAATCTGGATTTACAAATCTCCTCCGCAAAACTTCTCGAGCAATGTCTCACAACAGAAAACAGAGCGCATGTAGTAGAAAATGGACTCGAGAAGGTTGTCAATGTAGCGTGTGTTTGTACAAAAAATTCTAATTCAGTAGATCATGCACGAATAGGTACTGGAATATTGGAACACTTGTTTAAACATAGTGAAAGCACTTGTAGTGACGTTATTAATTTAGGAGGTTTGGATGCAATACTATTTGAATGCAGAAAGAATGATGTAGAGACACTGAGACACTGTGCAACCGCCCTTGCCAATTTGTCACTTTATGGTGGTGCTGAAAACCAAGAAGCCATGATAAAAAGGAAAGTACCCATGTGGCTGTTTCCGTTAGCTTTCCATAACGATGATAACATCAAATATTATGCCTGTTTAGCTATCGCTGTTTTAGTAGCTAACAAAGAAATTGAAGCTGCAGTTCTTAAGTCGGGCACCTTAGAATTAGTGGAGCCGTTTGTAACGACACACAATCCATCTGAATTTGCACGCTCAAATCTGGCGCATGCCCACGGCCAAAGCAAGAATTGGTTGCAAAGGCTCGTCCCTGTATTGAGTTCAAAGAGAGAAGAGGCAAGAAATTTAGCAGCTTTTCACTTTTGTATGGAGGCTGGTATAAAAAAGCAGCAAGGAAACACAGAAATATTCAGGGAAATAGGAGCTATAGAATCGTTAAAGAAAGTTGCAAGTTGCCCCAATGCAGTAGCATCTAAATATGCCGCACAAGCTTTACGACTTATAGGGGAAGAGGTACCACATAAATTATCACAGCAAGTACCTCTATGGTCAATTGAAGATGTCCGTGAATGGGTGAAGCAAATAGGGTTTTCTGAATATGCTACTAATTTTTATGAGAGTCGAGTTGATGGAGACCTATTACTGCAAATAACAGAAGAAAATCTTAAAGAAGACATTGGTTTACAAAATGGAATCAAACGAAAAAGGTACGTTTATTATCAGTCAACATTCATCTTTATAATTTTGTTTATAATAGTGTTCATGAAAACACATGAACACTCTTCACAAAAGCCTGAGCGAGCACCAGATAGAGAGATACCTATTTTTTTTTTAAGGGTGATTATGGAATGGTGCACCCGCCTGCGCTAACGGTTTACGCTGGCGGGGCACCAGTGGAGGATGATAGGATGAACATGAGGTCAGGTCAGTTAGCCCGTCGTAACAAATTCACCAGGAATTCATCACGATGGTTTCCAGCCGCGTGGAGGTCAACCTGACATGGTACTTCACTCACCTTCCCCCCGAGAGATACCTATTATAAACAGGAGATGAAGCGGATGGATAGTTGTTCATTGCTTTATCACGCAAAAACTACTCAACAGAATCGTATGAAGTTGGATAGAAAGATAGATCAGATTTGGATAGTTTTTGTCCAAATTCACGATAGTAGCGTTGCGGAGTCTATATATGTAAACACAATCCCGAGTGCTATTTTTTTAATATTATTAATAGAAAGTATAATATGTACCTGTTATTTTTTAGATTCACCCGAGAGCTACAACAACTGAAGAAAATGGCAGATTACACCTCTCGAGATACGGGGAGTTTAAACGATTTCCTTCAGACTATCGGTCCCGAGTATACCATCTACACATACTCCATGTTAAATGCTGGTGTCGACAAGGAATCAATTCGCGGGCTTAGTGACGAACAACTGGAAAATGAGTGTAGAATTGTCAATAGTATACATAGATTAAGAATTTTAAATGCCATCAAAGGTGAGATGACCTACTAAAACATATTTTCACTCTAAGAAATAAATTGCTGTACGAACATTAATTCTATCATTCTAAATTCTGTCATAATTCGAATTTAATGCAAGGTTTTATCATAAGCATGAATTTAATTCAAGTATTATAATAAGAGTCTATTTATCTACTAATATACAAATTATTTATAAAATATACATATAAAATTTGCCTCTAATTAAAAAGTGCATCAGAAATATATCTTTTAATATTAAAATAACGTATATGCTATAGACTGATGTGTATTTATTGAATAAATGATTAAATGGTTTACCTTTTTTTATAGTTTATGAAAGTTCACTTCCTAGTAAAGGAGAAGAGAATATGGAGAAGAACCTTGATGTTTTCGTAAGTTATCGAAGATCCAATGGCTCCCAGCTGGCCAGTTTACTAAAAGTCCATCTCCAACTGCGAGGTTTTACAGTATTTATAGATGTGGAACGATTAGAAGCTGGCAAATTTGACAACAATCTACTTCAAAGTATACGACAAGCAAAACATTTCTTACTGGTTCTTACTCCAAACGCACTTGATAGATGTAAGGAAGATACAGATCAAAAAGACTGGGTTCATCGGGTAAGAATTACCTATTTCTTATTTTAATAATTGTTTATTGTATCATTCACAAGCATAATATATTTATTTTTTTAATAAACGTCCAATATTCATTAATAATTTATTCACTATAAAAAGAGAAGTTTAATTAGTAATGTTTAAAGTCCTACGCTTTTCAGTGACAGTCAACCATAATACTTAAATATAATTTATTTTGTTTAAACATTATATTTCTATACATCATATTTTGACATAGATCAATAGTATCATAGTACAGTATTGCTAAACTGTATGGGTAACCAATTTACTGATATATTTTTTATTCAGGTACCATTTGTATGTATCTGACTACAGATGTTAATGTAAAAGTTACAGAAATGCCATAAGCCTAATACATACTCATCATTATTAGTACTAATTAGTACGAGTTAATTACGACCACAAACTGTATAGTCATTTTTCGATATGGCTTTCGTCTGGATGACTAATATAGATAAAACCGTTACAAAATAATTATAATACAATAATCAGTATCATAATATATTTATAATAATTATTTACAGGAAATAGTGGCAGCGTTGCAATCACAATGTAACATTGTACCAATTATCGACAATTTTGAATGGCCAAATGCGGAGGAGCTTCCGGAGGATATGCGTGCGGTTTGTCATTTCAACGGAGTACGATGGATACATGACTACCAAGATGCGTGTGTAGAGAAACTAGAAAGGTAACTTACCATAACTCTTCAATAATACTAATTTCTATAAGATTGCCCCAGTTATCAGTCTCGCTAAGCTTATTTTAGTTGCGGTGTTTGAGAATATATGTATATATTATGATGATATACTATCATGAAGGTAATCCGAGATGGAGTAGTCAGAGGCATTGTATACTATCTACCTAATGAATGCATTGCATTTCATGCACACATTTCACTGTATATATTTGGCATTGGACGAGTTAATGCCGTCTTTTGGATTATTTTTGGGTTTATGCGATTTTATAGAAGAGATATGAACTCACGACTTTTGGAACTAAAGGGACACAATATGGGGTAATATCACTAAGCCACGACGAGTTCAATAAATATAAAATATTTAATTGGCATACATACATTTAAAGTAATTCATTGCTTTTTTTTCAGCTTTCTACGCGGAAAGTCCAATCTCGCCACGCGCCTTGAGGGGCCTTTAAGAGTTCGTGACGTGCCAACGCCTGGCACGGCTGCCATAGGTCGGGGACCACCAAATTACCAGCGTATGACCTCTTGCGAGAGTCGAGGCAGCGACAAAACGGATTGACTAGAGTCACCCATACACACCCTACCACCTGTTAGGTAAACACAAATTTATATATATTACTGTATTTAGTAGAATTTGGCATAGGGAAATTAATAACATTTTTAAATATAAATATTATTTTTTGTTTTGTTTACAGACCACGACGAAGCCGTCAGTCATCACTAGAAAAAGCTTTACGAACAACTTCACAGAGTTGTGATCAACTTTCTAATTATAGCACATCGATAAGCGCGTCACCTGAAAAATCGCTATACAGCCTACCTGAAAGGTTATCAGAGAGTAGTGACAATATAGACACTACTGATTTAGACAAAACTTCACGTAGGTGTCGTAGCTGCGAGGGCATATTAGATGCAGATGAACAAACGCACACGCAACTTTCTTTGCCTACGCCTTTAGATGCCGCCACGCAGACCAAGCGAAAGAAGAATTTCATGGACAGATGTGTTAATAAAGTGAGACTGTGCTGATAAACAGTTTTAGTAATGCAGAAATACGTTACTGCAGAGTGTGTATGGAAACGACTGCCTTATTGGACTTTTATCGAATATTTAATCGAATATTTATGTAAATTTTAAAGTACAAAAACGCGCACAATGTGTAAATATTTCGTTTATGCCATTATAAATTAAGTTAGCTTGAACACTGCAATGTTTTACATATTGGTACATAATTAAAAAGATATAATCTCAGTGTTATGAGTGCATGCAAGAATTTAACTGTAACAAGGTAATCTTGCCCTGGGTAAAAAATTGCTACCCTGCTGTGTTTTAAGAACATCGCACGAGGTGGTAATAATATTAGAAATAACACTTTATTACGTAGTATGGTGAAACTGCTTACAATCCTTGACTTGTTTTATTTATCTCTTTGTCTCTCTTCATTCTCTCTATGTATAGAATTTACATAATGAACTTATGGATGTATTTTTTGTCTTAGTATCTTGCCAATAAAGTATTTTTAAATACAAAACTATACCTACGTACGAAATTATAATTTGAATATTGTGATAGCTTAGATCTTGTATGTTGTAAAAACTGTTTGCAATAAAATCAAATTAAAATATAAGTATGGAAATGTCGCTAGTACCTAATTTATTACTTCAGCAATATTGAATTCGATTTGTACCTTTTTAAATTGTATAATATTTTACCCTTAGGTTATACTTTAGTTATTTAACATAGTCTTTCACTTTTATGAGTAACAACTATATTTACTCAGGAGAATATATAAATATTATATTTATGTACTAGCTAGCTCTAACTGCAAAATAAATGGTATCATTAAACTGAAACATTAATTTATTTTACTTTCATTTTTATGTAATTTCAAAAGCAAGCATTACAACCTGATGGTAGTAATAATGGTAACTATATACCTACATGAACAGCACAACAGACATCACGTTATCATGTAACACCTGCGATGCCATGTGCTCATGCGGTGGCATTCTGGAGGACTAATGTCATTCCTATTTTCCTGTTATTTCACTACCCTTTACTCACCCTACAACAGAAATAGGTGAGACTGAGGTACTCACACAGATGTCTTTATCAAATCCAGTCTATGCAATACATATACAAGTCTAGCTTTGTCAACCAACATACCTATTACTACGAAGAAGAAAACTATTACTCCTTGTATGTAAAGTAATATCGCAAATAAGATCACATTACATTGTAATAAAATCTAAATAGATGAATTACATAGAAAGAAATAAAGAATCAGTGTAGATTAGATAATAGTACTCTAACCCATCTCGCTCGAAGGACCATTATGTTTGGAACCTACTCCGCAGAAATGAATCAAAACTTGGTTGAACTGATTTATTATTTTATATTAGAGAAGAATGGTATAAACGTGCTTACACCGATGGTGTAGTCGCAAGTTAAGGTGACTCAGTGCGAAGTGCCGTTCCCTGCAGCGCTAAAGGTCACTTCGGTCCATACAGTGGGTCTGTGGGTTACCATTTGCATAATTCTTTATAAAATTAGCAATACATGTCGAAAAATAATTGAGAGGGTGCATATTGCATGTGATTTAAAAGATTTTAACAGCTGGGTATAAGTCCCTCCTCTTATATGAAGATATAAACAAAACATAACACAGTATTTTAAGTATACCAGCTGACCGGGCAAACATTATTATGTCCTACAAATTAATACATCTTTATAAAAAATAGGGGTTGATGGTAGCAGGGTGAAAATTTAGGGTTGTATGTATATTTTAATGCCTCATTATTAAAAAGTTTTGGCCAAAAAAATAAAAAAACTATGTTAGAGGTAGACAGCCCTTACCACTTAGGGGTATCAAAAATAGATAGTAGCCTTTTCTCATACCTACTGAATATCCATATAAAATTTCATAAAAATCAATCAAAAACGGTCAGAGAAGTATAGGAAACTAACAGTCACATGAGAATTTTATACATAAGACAATATAAAACTTAGACAAAATAAAGTGCATTATAATATAATAATAATAATATCTGAAGACAATTCACACAGCGCCATCTATTCCCAAGCTAAGCAGAACTTGTGTTAAGGGTACTAGACAACTGATATAAATACAGGGATACATTTTTTTGTAAATAAATACATATTATACATAGAAAACACCCAGACCAATACAAACAATCATACTCATGAATACAAATGTTTGTACCGTGCGAGGAATCGAACCCGCGACCATCGGATAGTAAAGCAGTGTGCTAAACCACTAGACCACCGAAGCTGTCAGTATATTTGTATATAGTGTCATATAAAGTATCTATCTGTACATCTGTATTTGCTATATCACCTTCTGTATTAGATTGCACTAGTTGTCTTGTTTGGTAGTATAAAACAAAATTAAAAAATTGCTTATTTTTGGCAGAAAAGTATATAATAATAATGACCTAGGACAATTTACGCAGCACCATCCAGCAGCAAGCTAAGCAGAGCTTGTATTGTGGGTACTAAACAGATGGATATATATATTTACATATATGCCATACATAAAAAAATCACCCTAATCAATACAACCATGGAGACATGGTTAGAGATTGTGTGTTAAACTGCTAGATACTGAAGCCGATGAAGCCTCTAGCTAACTTGTGAAGAAAAGAATTAAATCACAGTTTAAGAAAATATATTAATAATACAAATATAGTAAGCTTATTCAACAAGTATTATACATATACTATAACATATTGACTTGTATTGAGAATGAGCATTCATTACAACCAATAATAACTTGAGACAGTATAGTATCACAGTTTTCTAATAAATAAGTCCCACCACATCTACAATTGTATGTGTAAACATTATCTTCATCATTATATTCCATTTCTTTCAAAGCTACTGTATCATATAACAATAAATCACTATGTTCTCGACAAGACAGCTCCGCATCATATTGTTTCCGTGTATCATCATCTCTCAAAACAGTCCATGCTTTCTGAACCTGATGGAAGGTGTCACTGAGATCTGTGTTGTTTTTATCAGGATGTAAAGTCAGTATGAGCCGCTGGTAACTTCTCTTCAATTCCTCAACAGATGCAGTTCTATTGCATTCTAATACCTTATAATAGTCTATGAAGTCATTTTCATCCATACTTTACAGAAGAAAAGAAAATGGGAACGTAGAAACTTATTCAATTTTAAGTAAAACAGGAAAAGTATAAATTAAGGTCACTTTTTTGTACTTATAATATAATAAGTCCACCAAAACAGTAAACACTAAGAATTATACTTTTATGGAACTATAATACAATAATAATATTAGAATTTATTATAAATTTTCAAAGCCAATAAATGGTACATTCAACAACAGGAACTATAAAACAAAACAAGCAATGTTCATGAACTTTGAAAATGACATTGACAATTTTCTAAAGTCATAAGGTACAACAATATAACTTATATATATTATAAAATTAATAATAATATAAACGCCGAACTTTTTGAGGAGATAGAAACTACAATAATATAGCACCAGAATAACAGACATAAATTTTGAAATAATAATGAATTGCAATATAATGAATATCTACTTTCGTATCGATAATGTGGAACGAGTGTTTGTGCTGCCCTAAGGAACATTTTATGCTGTCAATGTCAATTTAATACAATATGCACGTGCAAAAGTATCGATAAATTTTAATAATATGTTACAGTCTTTGAAATAAAGATAACAAAAAGGTTTAGATAACTTAAATGTTTTAAGGATATTGATTTTTATTTGCTTGTTAATTGTACAGACTCAACTTCAAATATTTTAATAGAATTGTTAGAATTTACTGAATTTATACTGAAATCAAACTATAAAATTATAATACATGTTTACAGTTTATTACATTATTGTTTTATTAATCTCTTAAGAGGGTATAGATGAAATAACGAGCTGTTAAAATTATATCGACGTAGCAACAAAAATATCGATATAATTATAAACAAAAATTTATAGGCTCTAAAGTTTAGACAGCTGCCTCGTCCTATAGGTTATGTTATGTTATTTGCCGGACAGTCTTAGCAAAATTTTGAGATCTCTTGTTTTTCTATGGTTAAAATATTATTACATAGCCAGTTATTTTTTATTAGTGAGGTTGTTGTATCTTTATTTCACCCATTTATGTACTACTGTGTTTTCATAAAGTTATATTTTATTTGTATTGTCGAGAAGTAAACACTATGCCCACTTGGAATCAAATACAATCACAACTCAGAAATCCTAATAATCCTGTTGTTTTTTTCGACATTACCGTTGGCACGACGGTAAGTATTCATATAACGAATTAAAACTTATGTTACTGTTATAATAGCAATTAATTTTTTAAGGTTCTAAAATTAATTGAGCAGATTTTTAAATTATGTTTACAGGAAATAGGACGAATGATATTTGAATTGTTTGCTGATGTAGTACCAAAGACAAGTGAGAATTTTAGGGAATTTTGTACAGGCGAATACAGAAGAGATGGAGTACCACTTGGATATAAGGGGGCGACGTTTCACAGAGTTATCAAAGATTTCATGATACAAGGTGGAGATTTTGTCAATGTATGTATTATATGTATTTTTCACATCTTAATATTAATATCATATAAATATCCTCACCACTGTAAAATACTCTGATAATGAATGAATTCATTATAAATTAATGCAAAACATTACTTGGCTAAATTTAGATAATAGTATTTAAATCTAGTGTCAAGTTCATTATTCACAGATATATTCTTATTTTTGTTAATTGCTTAATTAATGATATTTATAATTTTGTATATTGTTATTTAAAGAAATTTGGTTATAATATAAATAATTGTAGACTACATAATTAAAATAAAAAATAGTAGTCTGAAAACAACTATTGTGTCCTTTGAAGAAACAATGTGTTAATGGAATTTCTACACTACACTATTTATGTTAAACTACTGAATCACAGATCTACTAAACCAATTTTATCTCAATTGTTAACAAAATATTGCTATTTAGAAACTGCAAAATAAAAAAACTTGTTTATATGTTTGTGTTAGAAGAGTTGTTTGCCAAACACCAATAAATTTTAATATATTTTATTATACTACAGTGATGTATAAAATAAAAAATAAATAAATAGATGTTACATTTGTAACATCTAATGTTATTTCAATAAATGTTTATATTTTAGGGTGATGGTACTGGACTGATGAGCATCTATGGTGGAAGTACATTTGCAGATGAAAACTTTGCATTAAAACATGATTCTCCAGGACTACTCTCAATGGCCAACAGTGGCAAAGATACAAATGGCTGTCAATTCTTCATAACATGTGCTAAGTGCAACTTCTTAGATAATAAGCATGTAGTGTTTGGAAGAGTCATCGATGGATTATTAGTAATGAGGAAAATTGAAAATGTACCCACTGGTCCAAATAATAAGCCTAAAATCCCTGTAACAATATCACAATGTGGCCAAATGTAAATAAAGCTTAGAAATTATGACAAAGTATAACTTTATTTCTTCTCAAACTTAACAGTAAAAAGCTAGGCTTCAGAACAAAATGTACAGTGATGAATAAATATTACTAAACAATTACAATAAATAATAAATTATTTACCTACACTGGTAACATTGGATTACGTGTTTGTATGAACACTGTCAACTTTTAATGGCATGATTATTATTATTTAGGAGCATATTTCTAGGTGCCATGGTGGCTGGTCCATTCCGTCTGGCGGCTTCCTTTATGAAGGCCCCTTCCATCTGGCGTGCAACTTGATCAAAGAATAAATTTGATAACTGAGAGTGAAAAGCTGATCTAAATTCAAAAGTTATTTGGAAATCAACTACACATGACTGTTGCTCTCTCTTTAAACCTGGACTAAATCTCCAGAGAGTCAGCATGTGATGAAACAGTTTACCATCCAAACACTCTGCTTTGACAACATGTGGCTTAATGAGTGTTACTTTTGAAGTATAGCTCTCATTTATTGGAGGGAATCCAACAATAAGGTCAGCTTTCAGAAATTCTGGTGTTTTTTTAAATACTACCGACTTTTTACACCATGGAACAAATTTGTAATAGTTTTCTACATCAGACACCACTTCAAACATTTGTTCCATTGTATATCTGAAAAGTGAGCTTCAAATTAACAGCCAGAAAATTAATACATTTATTTTATGTCACTCAGTTAATGACCACAATTTTAAGTTGAGGAATTACGAAGAATTACTTAAGAAGGCATTTTAAGTTAAATTCACTGCACAGATGTAAGACTCAAATGTATGTAAATTTTAATGGGTTCATGTTTATAAGATATTTATTATTCATTAAGGGAATAACATAGAATATTAATGTGACATGTCATGCTCAATGAACTGAGATAATTTACAAACAGTGTATTCAAATCAATATTAAGTACTACATCTAAGTACAAGATAAATATCGAGTTTTCTCAGAATTATAACATACATAATGTTAATATACTGAGAAAATAGGTTTGTGTAGTAACTTGTATTAATTAGTCCAACTTAAAAACCAGTGTATTAAATATAGATTGATTGGACATACATATTTATTACTTTATCATCTATAACTTATATCAACAGATTAAAAAGAATGGTAGACAATTTTCTAATTATAAAAATCCATTTATACTGTATTATGTAGTTTCTGTATTATTATTCTAATACTGTCATGACCTACATGAAAAAGTGCAATTAATTAATAAATTCAATATTTGATATTTGGAAATTGTTTTTACCAAGAAGGGATGCTACTTAAGATTAACATTACTTACCCAACCAATTGCCTACCACAATATTCTCTTGTGCGGATAGGTTTTGGGAAGTTAATGAATGTTCTTCGTTGAGGACTATGCACTTGACATTGGTTATAAATAACATCTCCATTTATATTTACGTAATGACCCTGAAAACTTAAGAAAGAACGGATTCAAGATATAAAATGATATGTACTTTTTTGAGAAATATACCTATGTTGAAAATAATATGTATACAACTACAAAAAGTAATTTTACCTGCAAAAACCTGGTTTCATATAAATAATTTTCGAAGTAATTGAGGACCAATTTTTAGATAAAATCATTATGCTGGATTTATATTTATACACGTATCATAATATAGACATTGTTACGCTCACTACATGGGTAAATCCATTGTTTTACTGTTTAGAAATTAATTATATTTACTTCAATCCATGTGAATTACACATATACACAAATAACATTAAATATACTTTTTAAACATTTTACAAAGTTGTTTTCTTCAAAGTCCTTTTCGATCACATATCCAATAGACTATTTCTATGACAATTATTGACATTGTGATATGACATTATATGACATAACTGACCGTCGATGAATCCCTGATAGTCGTAATCAACGTCACACGTATAGCAATGTCATAGCACTTGACAGCACAGATATGTAGCATCTTCATTGTGTCTCAGATTAATTGTCATAATAAATTAGGGATGTCGAAAATGACAAAACATCGATACGGCATGGATATTTAGTAAAAGTACCGACATTTAAGTGATCTTTACGAATTATTAAACATCATATTAATAATATTAATTCTTCGTAAATTCCAATATCACTGGACAGTAAGGTCAAACAAAGTTTGGTATCATTAAGTCAAAGAATATACTACTCAAGAGCATTAAGTGATCAATAAGTTTACTAACACCCTAAGCGCTGTATGTCGAAATTTTTCGATTTATTAAGCAATTCAGTTTATTACATAAAAGAAAAGAATTTTATAATGTCCAGTATGAACCTATTAATTAGTAACACCTAGCGAAATATGTATGTAACATAGCAATCACGAATCTATCGATACATGTATAAATTTTTCGACAACCTCTAGTTGCTCTCCACCTCGCTACATGTCTGTTTAGTTTGGTTACTTAATTTAAACACGTGTTTTCGCTTTAATTTGTCATTTTTAATTGAAAGCTCTTTTTTTCTAATTTATAACTATTATACAAGATTTTAGCAAATACAACAAGTTAGTAAATAATGGGGCGAAAGGCAAAATTCGATGAAACCAAAAAAGTGAAAAAGGGCCCAGGTAGAAAGGCGAGAAAACAACCAGATCCTGTTTTCAAAAAGGAACTGCGTAAGTAAAATGTATTATTTATAATAAAAACGAACTATTTTCACCGGTTTACCTGTTCCTTATTGTACATTTTCCCTGGACTTGCGTGGATATGTCTGCATTCTTAATGAAATGTCTAAAATATAATTTTATGTTATAAAATTTATTTTATTCTCACAAGCAATATATAGATTTGGATACAACATTGCATTATTTTTCCCCTTTTATAAAAAACAATTATCGGTGAGGTAAATTATCAAAGATAGGTATACTAACCTGTCCATGTATCAATCCACCAGTTCCTTTTGGAATAAATCAACTGTACAATTTATTAGTTAACCTTTCTGTAAAATTTTTCCCAATAAATTAAGTTAAGGTTACAAATTACTGTAATTACACATAAGGGCAGGACTTTTATGTTTATTATTAATATTTACTCAATATCATAGTTATTGATTTATAATGAAATTAAGACAAATTAAATCAATTCAGTCATATTAGTGGTGAAGATAATGCATATATGCACAAAAAATTTAATATAGAAGATTTTATGTATTAGTGAAAGCAGGATACAATTCTAGCGGGATAAAAATATTTGTATGAAGAAGTATCATTTGTCCAGGTGAATTTATAAAAATATATTTAAGTATATCTTTCAGTTGATTTGTACTAATGGTAAAGTCTGTTTTGTTTGGGACCAGAAGGCACTGTATGAATCATTGTTGGTTCTTATTATTATTTTAAAACTAATTTGTTTTGTAACTACAGTTGAAAATGATGAGCAAAAGAAGCTTAGTCACAGACAGAAACAGCGAGCAGCAAGGAGAGTGAAAAAGAAAGCAGAGATAGCAGAGAAGAGGAAAACATTGAAACAAGTAAAAAAAAATGTTGCCAAACAAAAAGAAGTGGTACTCGAAAAAGGTTCTGATGATGAATCTAGTGATGAAAATAATCAAGGTATTAATATACTGCTCTTTATTGTTTTTTTAAATAAATTAAATCTGAGAAATTGTTTACTTACAATTTACTAATAAAATTGTGTTTTTTATACAATATATAATTTAATAAAAAACATATTCTAGGAAGTCTTGTCATGTACAAATATTACAAACTAGTAGCAACATCTTTCAATAATTTTTCACAAATTTTCCTATTTCCATAGTTATATTGTATTTTTTTTAATTTATAGGTTTCACTGACGATAACAAAGAGTGGTTAAAACCAAAACAAAAAAATAAGACCAATTTAAAAGAATTGAGTGATGAAGATAGTGACAGTGGTCATGATGAATCTGGTAGTGTCAACGAAGACAACAGTGATGACGAAGATACACAGAAAACTGGTTCTAATGCCGAAAACTATAAAGTAAGAGGGATTTATGTACTTCATTTTTATTTACTATACAAATGTTATACTTCCAATAATTAAATTGAAAACAATTTTTTTATGTACTCTGACACAATAACAATCAATGTCTATAATATTACTTATCCAAAAGTACTAAAGCATATGAAATGTGTATGTGCACAGAGAGGGAATGAGAGAGACAATATTTATTATTTCATACAAAAATTTAAAATGTTTTTATTATTAACTAGCTACCCACCCCGGCTTCACACCGGTGTACATGTATTATACATATAAACCCTCCTCTTGAATCACTCTATCTATTAAAAAAACTGTTTCAAAATCCGTTGCATGGTTTTAAAGATTTAAGCATACATAGGGACAGACAGTGCCAGCTACTTTGTTTTAAACTATGTAATGATGATAGTTCTCATCTAGGAAAACAGGCAACATGATAAAGTATATTGCAATTAATTTAGACTTAAATAATAATGTGTTTATGATTGGATACATTATACTATGACTGTCTTGTTAACCCATGACCATTATATTTGTAATAGTATTGAACTATTAATAGTTAAAATATCCCATTTATATAATGTGTACAACAATGTGAAAAAAATTGAAACAAGTATTTATGAATTTATTTTTATTGTAGGTTGGAACCTTAGATGACTTATTTCAAGATTCTGATAAGGAAGCTAGTGATGCTACATCTGAGGATGAGGGTGCAGACACTTCAGCTAAGATGTCTTATAACTCTGATTCAGATGAAGAAGCAGAGGAAGAAAGTGATGATGATGGTGATGATGACATGTTACCCATTGAAAAGGCGAATATAAAATTAAAGAAGAAACAAAAAATTGACAGGAAGCTTGCAGACGATGAGATGCAACTCAATATTGCTAAGCAAGATGTGTTTGCATTTCCCACTGAGGAGGAATTACAAAATCCCACAAGTCTTCAAGATGTTAATCAAAGAATTAAGGATGTTGTTCATGTTCTAAGTGATTTCAATCGTTTAAAACAAGAGGGTAAATCCCGCTGTGAATATACTGATTTACTTCTTAAAGATTTATGCATGTATTATAGCTATAATGAGTTTTTAATGGAAGTTTTAATGCAAATATTTTCTGTGCAAGAATTGGTAGAGTTCTTGGAAGCTAGTGAAATTGCTAGGCCTATAACTATCAGAACAAATAGTCTTAAAACAAGGCGGCGTGATTTAGCTCAAGCACTGATTAACAGAGGTGTCAATTTAGATCCAGTCGGAAAATGGAGCAAAGTAGGTCTTGTTATATATAGCTCCACGGTACCAATTGGGGCTACTCCAGAATACTTAGCTGGTCATTATATTCTCCAAGGTGCATCAAGTTTTTTGCCTGTTATGGCATTAGCTCCTCAAGAAAACGAAAGAATTCTGGATATGTGTGCTGCTCCAGGAGGAAAAGCGTCACATATTGCAGCAATTATGAAGAATACTGGCGCATTATTTGCAAATGATGCAAATAAAGAACGAACTAAGGCTATTGTTGGCAATTTTCATAGATTGGGAATTGTAAATGCTGTAATATGCAATTATGATGGGCGTCAGTTTCCAGATGTGATTAAGGGATTTGATAGGGTATTATTAGATGCACCTTGTACAGGTACAGGTGTTATTGCAAAGGATCCTAGTGTTAAAACAACAAAGGATCAAAAGGACATACAAAGGTGTTTTAATTTACAAAGACAATTACTTTTAGCTGCTATAGATTGTTGTAATGCTAAATCAAGTACAGGGAGCTACATTGTATATTCAACATGTTCAATACTGCCTGAAGAAAATGAATGGGTGGTTAATTATGCTTTGAAAAGGAGAAATGTGAAATTAGTCCCAACAGGTTTAGATTTTGGTACAGAGGGCTTCGTGAAATACAGACATCATAGGTTCCACCCATCACTGAATTTGACTAGGAGGTTTTATCCCCATACTCATAATATGGATGGTTTCTTTGTGGCAAAATTTAAAAAGTTTTCAAATGTTATAGTAAGTATTTCTTATTTATCTCGATTTTTAATGTCATTTTGTAATTGTAGATGGTACAGTTATTAAATTGGTTTCTTTTTGCATAGCCTGAACCAGTAAAAGATGAAGATGAGGAGGAGGAAACTACAGAAACAGGCCAACAAAATGGAAACATTGAATCAGATGCAGATAATACACAACCGGAAAAGAATAGCTCTGCAGTAAAAAGATCTGCAACCTCTAATGAAACTGAACCACAAAAGAAAAAAAATAAGCCTTCCGATGAAAAAAAGTGCGTAAAATTGTTAAATTAATTATATAATATGATGAAATTGTGTTCACATTTTTAATATAATTTGTATAATGAAATTAGTTTCATTAGATTGTGTGAAATTAGTCCACATCCTTACTGATTTCATCAGTTTATACTTTGTTATTTATCTAATATTATATACTTGAGCAACTATATTTCCCAAATGTATTAATGAAATGTATAGATATAATAAAAATGTATGCTCCCTGCACATGTAAGATACCTATATGAGGGATTATTGGGGGACTTTATTAACGGTATGCAACAATTTTTTAGAATGTGTGTCTGTATGTCTGTGCACAGTAATCTCAGAAATGCCTCAACTGATTTGGTGCTGTTTAGGCTACTGTATTATGTTAAACTTCTTTTGAAATTTAGTCATTTGTTCTGTTTCCATCAGTTTACCATGAGTGAAGTTGCTGGTTTATCTAGAATTTTTTGTACCACATAGGTGGCAAACAAGCATACGGCCCATCTGATGGTAAACGGTTACTGTGATCTAAGGACGCCTAAAACACCGAGGTGTTTTGCCGTGACGTGCGCGTCGCCGACCCATATGCGTTAATATAATTAATATTAATTGCAATTCAAATAACCAATAGTGACTTCATAGATAACTTAGAAGCACTAATTGCAGGTAGCAACCAACTGTCGGCTGTGTGAAGAAAACATCTTAGACAACTCGACTAGTTTAATGATCCCTCAATAGTTAATGATTTTAATAACTTTGTTTCAGTATTTCTCCAACTAATACATCTAGTACTCATACAGCACAAAATAAAAAGAAGAAGCGTAAAAACAATAAAAGAAATAAATCAAATGTAACTGAAGTAAACCAAGCACAGCAAATTAAGCAGACACAACCTAGTACCATAAATAAGAAAAATGATGTAAAGAAATCCAACGAGAAAATTAAAATTGGAGGTAATAAAAAGACAAATATTACCAATAAGAAAAATACAAATTCTACAGAAACTATTTTAAATTCTCAGAGTCAAGTAAATAGTAAAGGAACGAAAAATCCAAGTGAGTACACTGTAAATAAGAATCCAACCCTAAGTCCACAGCAGAAGGCTAAGAATAAGAAAAAAAACAAAACTAAACCTTCAAATGACAGTCCAAAAAATATTGCACTAGTCAACAAAAATGAACATAAAATAACAGAAAAGTTAGAAGTTAATGCGTCGAGACAGTTAAAAAAGAAGTTAAAGAAAAAGAATAAGCAGATCGGTCAAATAAATGAGAAGAAGGAAGCTTCCAAACCACAGAATAAACAAATGCGAGTAAATAAAAAAAATAAGAAAATGAAGTCAAAGTGATCCACAACTACTTTAAGTACATAAATTGTTATGACGTAAGGATTATTTTATTAAAATTATATGATAACTTCTTGAATGCACTTTTTTATTACAACCTAGATGAACTATGACATAGGGTTTCAGTACCTCGTCACCAAAACCGTTTATGTAAGTTGAATCTTGCTGACGACAAAAATATAATGTTAATGCCGTGTAACTCTCAGGTAATGGAAACACCGATAAAAACTAAATAAATTGGAAAGAGGGCGGTGCTCGACACCTGCTCTATTGTTAAAAAATAGGCACTTCAAGTTTTTATTTGTGACGGAATGAATTGTATGGTAGGCTAATGGTACACTCACATACGCTGGAGGGACCCAAATAAATGATGATAAAATGAGCATCAGGTAAGGTCAGTTCAATCATGTGGTAAATTTACCAGGAGTTTATCACCGGCAGAAATAGTGAATATTTAACTAATAGGATCTTTGTTCCATGGATGATAATGAAGTGGTGAATGCACCAGTAGAGGATGATAAGATGAACACGAGGTCCCATCCAACCAAGTTAACCTATCATGATAAATTCACCAACAATTTATCACGATGGTTGGTTTCTAGAGGGAACCGCGTGGAGGCAACCTGACACGGTACATTAGCTAGCAATAAGATCAGTCTATTACTAACAATCCCCTTTCCCCACTAATAGGATCACGATATATTATTATAGGTTAATTTACAAAATAATGTAAATATATTATTTAGAACACTAAGTAACAGGAATTAAAATTTATATTAAATGATACTTAAACATATTTGAAAGATTACAATGGTTGTTCAATTATACAATGTAATTCGAATTCAATTAGTGATTCCTATATCCATAGAAAGCGATAACGATAAAAACTGTTATATTGTTTAAAAATATATATATATTAAGTTTATAATAAAAAAACTATTTTTGTATGAAGATATAAATAGTAATTTTATTGCATCTACGTAACATTACATATGTAATGTACCTATAATTGTACTAAATATGGTGTCAGATCACCACAAATAGGAATAGAATGCAAGATTATAAATATAGAATTAGATATCAATATTCTAATTAATTATTTTCATGATAATTAGTTAGAATGCTCATAACTAAATCTATCTTTATAGTAAATATATTGAATTAAATTTCGCGGGAAACGAAATAACGAACTTACCCAATAGGTAGATATTGATATAGGTACGTCAAATACCTACCTACATCTATGCTACGTAAGTAAACTCAGGGGAAACTAAAATTTTTATATGCGAAAACGTGTCTGTTTCTTACGGCTAAACGGCTGAATGGATGAAATTGAACATGAATAGATATACATATATATCTTTTATCTCAAAAATTTCTCTGGAAGGTCTTGAAACAGCAAATGAAGGTTTGTGCAGACGTAGATAATAGCGGGTAACAGTTATGTAGAATAAATTTGAAGTTGCTGTCATAAGTATTAAAAATTGTGTCACTTAATGTATTGTTATGGGCATTCTATTAGTAGAAGCTTCCGAGAACATTAGTACCAAACAAATTTTAGAACAACGACTAATCTATTTCTAGATATGTTCACTATGACAACTAACTATGCGCATGACAAAAACTCGCACAGCACGTCCGGCGTCCGGCGTGTCTTTTTCGATCTTCCGGTATACTTAATACGAGTATAAAAATAGATTATTTTTTGGCACTTGCTAAAGGAATGGCGAACTCGCTTTGAAGGGCTAGTTCATATCTATTATATATACTTTACTTACTTTTTATTTTACTTCAAACATATTTTTTAATAATAGTTACTGTCTGAAAAGAACCTATGAAACGTGTATGTGGGACTAATTATTTGTTTTAGACTTATTGTTAGATTATATAGCGTACATTTAGATATATGTAATGGTACTGACGGGATTACAATTTTATTAAGTGCTTTTGCAGGTATATGTATATATATAGGTACATGTTTCTTCTATACATAAGTATTTCTATATGTTTCTTTAAGCTTGCGAAATAATTATTTTGAAAAGGCGTAGTTTTCTCTCCCGTGTTAAATAATAATAATGACCGACAAAAAATCCTTGTGCCATTAATTTTTATCTGAGTGACTCTCCAGCGATGAAAACACCGATAGCAAACTAAAAATACAATCTAGTAGGACAAGATCCCACCGTATCTCCCGAATATATTTTTGGTAACAGTCATCAAAATGATTTTTTTATATTGTAAAATTGAAGTAATTACAGCTTTAGTAATAAGTATGACAACATAATTCAGTATCACATACTGAACATAATTGCATTGAAATCAATGCAATTATGTTCAGTAATATAGTAAGAGGCTTTACCTACAAAGACATAGAATATATATACGTAAGTTTTGTAGGCAGGTGTTGTTTTAACTAGGAAAAGATAGGACACGAAACCTAGAATCGAGTCCCATTCACACGACAGAATACATTTTCCCACGTAGCCGACGCTCGATCGTTTTGAGAATCATGGGGCTGGAGCTTTCCCGTCCGGGGCGGCGACCGCTACGAGCGTAGCTCCACGTTAATGAAAAGCGCGGACCGCGCAGCCCCTCGTCCCCCACTCGGAAGCTGCTGCCAGTATCTCGCGGACCGCGCTGTCGATTGTACACGTCGCCTCTTCACTGCATCCACCTATACAGTACGTCGATAAAACCAATATATTCTAACTAAAGTGCATGCCCTAAATTTGATATTTGATTGTAGTGCTTGTTTCATACATGATATTGTGCTGTGGATGAGTTGACCGGATATGGGATCGGAAAGCGGGATGGGCGGGACGCTTTGTTCGGGACGCAGGACGCTCGCGGAGGCTGTACCGCGCAGCATCCGCTCGCCATGTTATATACCCGACGCGTATACGAGTACAACGGATCTACGTTTGAAAGATAGCTTCTCTTGCGATGTTTGGTCACTAGCGGCTTTATCCTGATCTGATCCTGATCTTTGATAGCCTAGCTTACTACCTAATAACACTTTTAAAATGATAAATTACTTTAATTACAATAGAATATATAACATTTTATTATGATATTGACAATGGTTTTATACAGAATTCTTTCATTCATATATCAAATATGCATGTGTGGAATAGATGTACCTATGTATTTTGTATTCTTGAGATATGTACAGGTGCAAGTCATGTATATATAATAACATCGACTTATATATATATAACACCCATATATAATTACCATAAAGCAATTTTACCTATCGTAGCACGCCTTAGAATTTTCTATTATGCATTGCAGAATATGTTAATTAAATGCCGTTCTGACCTATTTCAAGATTCCAATATAACGGTAATATACCGTTATATTGGAATAACTTCAATAATTTATTTATGCATTAATAGTATTTATTATGTTACTTTAAAATTATACATTGGATATTATTTGAAATTTATCAATTAAATAATGAAAACTCGATTTCCGAGATAAGACCGCACCTCCAAAGTACAATATTATTAGGTACTTATTTAAACCTTCATATTTGCACAAAATGAAGTCATCAATAATTAAAATTATTTGTAAAAGAAATAATAATTATTTGTACAATTTCTATTTTTTAAGGTTTTGTGATGATTTTGTATACAATGAAGAAATAAATATGCCAAATATTGTTTCCCGCGGATTCACTCACGTAAATTCCTAGCCTCCTGCTTTGGCGGCAATTTGAGAAAATTGATAGTAAATGGCGACATTATAAAAATATTCACAATATAAACATAGCGTAATTTTTAATGTAATACTAGTAATCGTAAATCTACAGTAACATCGTGAGCAAACAGGCTTATTAATTAGACTTACATAATAAGAATTTGCAGCATTGAACGTGGTATAGTATGTCTAATTAAGCATAAGTGCATAACCCGTGTGTGGACTTGATTAACTCGCGGTACGGAATTGCGTATATGTACGCTGCATAGGCATAGAACTAGCCACGAGACGTACGTAAACTTATTAGGTATTTGCATACAATATAACAATATTATAACACAATAATTAAACTAAACGAGTGTATTCTCTATTAATTTAATGATGACGGTACTCATAACTCTGACACTAAAAAACTTTTAAAAACATTTTACTTTTAAGGTTTCATTTTTACTTTTATAAAATTTTAATTAATACATATGTCGTATTTAAGTAAAAGTTTATATAAATAAAAGTACCATAGTGAAACTTCTTAACACAAGACTTGTTAAATAGGTATTTGTTTTTATTTTTGATGGACTTGCCTGTACTAACGATATACATACGTTGACGAGGCACCGTGGGAGATGATGGGATGAGGATGAAGTCAGGTCAGTTAACCCATCGTGGTGAATTCACTAGGCATAAAACAATGTGGTATCTAGGAAGATCTGCTTAGAGGTCGTTTGATAGAGTACATCGATATTGGACCACTAGGACTAGAAGAATCACTTCTCACCTAACTAAATGGGAGTTGCAGAAATTATTAATATATAGGTTACATATATACTTTAGCTTCGATATAATCTGATACTTATATTACCTCACAACTGTAGCCATTTCTGATGTGTGTCGGTGCGATGTGTCTCGAAATTGGATATCTTATTATGTGAACCGTAACAACTCGACGTCGCGTTCATTCCTGCTTCATTGCAGATATAGGTGATATCTTTGTAGTCAGTTGTCACATTAAATTTCAATATATGTTTTATCTATAACTGGCGAGCCGTCCCGGTTTCGCATTATAATGCATCCGACATTACAAATCTTATAATTTTTAGGCTTTTACGTATATACATATAAACCTTCCTTTTGAATCACTCTATCTTTTAAAAAAACCGCATCAAAGTCTGTTGCGTAGTTTTAAAGATTTAAGCATACATAGGGACAGACAGCGACAGCGACTTTGTTTTATTCTATGTAGTATGTGGTGAAGTGATGATTACGAAGAATAGTAATAAACATAAGAATGTTATAACAATAATATACCAAACATAAAAAATATCATTTGAATATTATTGTAATTATATAATACATATATTGAAACATACAAATTTTTAAATCTAATACTGATATTTTTTTAAACATGTAATATACCACATGCACATCAATGCATAATGCGGGTCACGTAATACTTTCACACATGGGGACTCTGTACTTTCAATTGTAAATAGCCATTTTATTGATAATACTTTCGTCAGTCTTGTACCGTCTGTATTTTGCATTCTATACCAATACTGTTGGTAAGATGCAGCATGTCTTGCAATATAATCGAATGCAGTCTGCATTTAAGATCAGCACAGTGGGTATCGACGCATATTGGCTTTAATACTATATCTTGCGGTCACATCGTTTCATATATAAGTTAAATTTACAGCGCATGGAGTCATAACATTTTAGTTTTAAAGAATTGTAGAAGGCAACGCACTGTCACCTACCCTTAAATAGAATGTTAGATTATTTGCCATTCCGGTTTCGTAAAAATTAATTAGACCCTAAGCAAATGGAATCGACAAAAGATTACTTTTCTAGCGACTGCTAAAAGACACTGTTACATATAAGATATCTTTTTGCGAAAACTAAAAACGGATTGATTTTTGTTATCGTTTACAGTTTCAGTTTACTCCTGTCAGTTTCATATAAATTTCAGAATATATAGTCAGTTTTTAAAAATGTACCTATATATGGTTTTTTGGGCATTGAATATTTTTTACTATTACCTGAGAGTACTATACTACAGCTATTATTATCTAAAATATTAATTTATTAAGGACTACTACTGTGTTGTTGCCTATTATACACATAATTATTTTAATTTTATGATTAATAACTTCAACATTTTTAATCTGTTTAATGCAATTATGCCTCCTTCTTTTCCATCCGGAGGGAATTCCTTGCTATGTTCTATTATGCATTTTATAGTAACAATACCAATTCAAATTTCAGTAATTATTCATCTTTTGTACATATACGATCCTCAGGTGAATAACCACCATTTATGGCAGAAATTTATCTGATAAATAATAACTTTATAAATATTTCTACTCTTTTTCATCACTCTTCAAAATAGCGTAGATAACAATTGATCGAAGAATCTTACGGTAAGAATCGAGAAGTTTACGGAAGCTGTGTGTACAAAAAAAATGTTTTATTACTTCTACAACGCTATTGAATAGGGACAGACAGCGAGATGATTACGATGCAACCAACTTCGCGAGCATTTCCTGTTTTCACAAAATGATAGTTGTTTTTGCGAAATTATTCTTTTGTATTCAGTCGTACGTACAACTGTGGAGGCGCCATTATTATTGCAAATGATCTTTTCCTTTATTCGAAATTATGAGGTTTTATAAATTTTGCAATTCATTATAATAATGCTATGCAGCCATATTTAAAAGTTGTCAGTACTTTGAGAAGATTTATGGCCCAACTTGAACGATTTTGCAACTACCTAATTTGACTACTAAAACTTTATAATACACTTACTAATGAGCACCTGGAAAACAATATAGTTATATTTATACAGAATATGTATGTTTTTATTTCTGGTGAACTTTTCTAATCAACAATAAGAACATACTAATAGTTCATGATATGAATCTATATTAGTATTATTATAGGTAGTATATCTAAAAAGTACAGTGATTTAAAATTACCTTTTATTATACAACATATAATTAATAGACCTTACGGACTTTAGCTATAATATTAAGTTACTACTTTACTAGTATATTAAATACTTTTATAGAAATTCCGTATTTGTTTGGTGCTTATTGAACACAATAATAAACATGTAAAGCAAATTCGTAGCACTTCTACGAATCTCGAGCCGATTTGCTACGTATCATCGTAGCAACGACTTCCGTTACAAGGTCACTATGAAAGGCTGTTTTATTATAAACCTTTATTACAGTCTTTTGTTGGGTTCACCTGCTTTGTGCAAAACTGGGACGGTTTAAATTAACTGGATACAAGTTTGAATACGCTTTGGTTGTCTGGGGAATATAGGCGTACTTTTATCATTCATCAGTACTGCGGTCTCAGGAGAATTCACTAGTAAATATTCTACCCGAGGGTTGACTTAAAACTTAATGAAATAGTTTTAGAGCCGTTCGTCAAAGCAACTTAAATATAAATATATCTATATCAAATTTGACTACCATACATATTATTATGTAGAACATGTGGTATGCAATGAATATTAAGGTTCTCGAATTCTGAAGGTGCTATCTAATCGACGGCGAAGTAACGGTTGCGAATGTGTTGAAGACACTTAGTGGATGAAAGTCTATCAGGGAATTTCTTTATGGTAGATTAACTTATAGTAGATGGCCCAGGTATCTGAGATTATTAAAGAATAAACTTGCAATTGTTTCATATAGATATTTGTAAAATATACAGAGGATATTATATAACATAACACTTCTATCTGTTGTTTAGACACGGTAGATAAGGAGTGGCTCTTGATGCTGTCTTAAAGAGTAGACCTACCACAATAGAAAACGCCAGGAGAACGTCTGTCTAAAATTATTTCTAAAGCAATGTACCTACACAAATAATAATAAATTCGGCCAATAGCCCACACCGGTACTAGCACTCGCCCTCTCTTGTAAATATTTACTTTAAATTCATTTGATGTTAACGATGAGGTTTCTCCTTAGCCCTA